TTAATTTTTATTTATATATTATTAAGCTAATTTAAAAATTTATTTTTATTTTTTCTATTAAAACTTATAAATATTAATAACTTTAATTTCTTTATATTAACTGGATCTTGGGCTGGTACTGATATTAATATTAATATTAATATAAATAAAAATATTATAATAAATATCTGAAAAGATAGAAATCAGATATTAATAAATTATTTAACTTATTTAAAACTAGCTCTAATCTTATTATTTATTATTATATTTTATTAGAAAATAATATATTATATTTCTATATTTTAAATTATTAATTTTTTAATATATTTAATTAACTGGTCAATAATATCAGCTTAAATAATATTTTTATAATAATTAGAAATATTTATTAATTTATTATAATTATTATATATTATTAATTTATTATCTAATAAATACTTTAAAAGGGAATAAATTTAAAATTATAATAGATTAAAAAATTAAAAAGACTATATAAAATACAGTAATTAATAAAAAAATTAAATTTATTAGAGAAAGAACTATTTAATTTATAGATAAATTAATTTTTTTTATAGATATTTCTTCTGGGAGTTTTTTTTTATAATTCTAATAAATTCTTTTATTATTTTAGAGATTTCTATCTTTTTTACAAGTATCTCTGGGTCAAGATCCAGGACTAGACAAGTCAGAACATAGATGTTCTGATTCCAGATGGCTGACAGGGCCTAGCCCTTTTCAATTAGTAAGGTCTAGATATATAAAATAATAAAATTAATTTAATTAAAAAAAATAAATTATAAACTAAGATAGTAAAATATAATTAATCTATTTTTTAAATATTTTTATAAGAAATATCAGTAACTAATTATATATATTTAAATAAATATTTATTTATATTTTAACTTGTCTACTAGAATATTATAATATATAAATAAATTATACTTAATAGTAAATATATAAAAATAAAAGCTAGTATAGATAATAGATATTTTAAGATATTTTATTTATTTATTATTTTTTATTATTATATTAAGATTATATAGTAATTTTCCTGCTGTATATAAGTAAACTAATAAATTAAATTTATTAAAAAAAAAGATTAGATTATATAAAATATTATAAATTTTAAAAATATATAATTAGAAATTAATTAGTTCTGAAGTAATAATTATTAAATACTAGAAAATATAATAATTATAAAATATTTAAATATATATATTATTAGAAGACACTACTTAGCTAGTTAAAATAAATATAATAATAAATATAATTTTTATATAAATATAAATTAGCTATTAAAGGAGCAAAGATAAATCTATAATAAAAAAAAATAATATTAATAATTAAATTTATAATAAGAATTTTACATGGAACCAGACTGTAATTATATAATATTAAAAAATAATAAATAAAATAATAATTTTTTAATTAAGCTCTGATAATGTCCAGGTCTTTAAATATTTTAAAAAAAAAATTAAAATTAATAAATAGACTGAATTATTTTTTATAAAATTATACTAAAACTAGTAATACTAAAAGATAAAAGAATTTTTTAAATATATTTTAAAAAGTGATAGCTAATCCTCTTTTAATTAAAATAAAATATATTATATAGATAGTCTAAAATAATATTAAAAGTTAAAATAATTTATTTAATTAATAAAAATATAGATTATATTTTTTTAATATTAAAATATTTTTATTATTTAAGAATAATTATCTGATAATTACTTTTAGCTTAATAATATTAATACTAAAAATAATACTAGCTATAAAAGATTATATTATATCTTAGATTAATCTTTTTTTTTTAGAAATAATAATAAATTTAATATTTTATATTAATATTATAATTAAATATATTATTATTCTTAATTTACTATAGCATGTCTCCAGTAAATACTATAATAAATATAATAATAATTATTTATTTATTATAGAAAGTGCTGTAAAAGTCTTTTATAATAATTTTAAAATTAATATTAATATTAATTAAAATATCTTAAAATAAGATATTATGAAGACCCAGTATTATAATAAAAAAATTAATTAAATATTTTTATTTTTAATAAAATAAGCTAGCTGGTATCAGATAAATCCTCTTTAAAATTCTAAATATATTATAATAAGTTCTGAAATTATTAATAAAAAGAAGAAAAGAAAAAGACTTTATTTATAATTAATAAAATAATTATATAAAATAATTATATTTAAATATTTTAAGCTCAAGTTCTGCTTAAAATAAATATATAAAAATATATAATTATACCCGCCTAATACAAAAAATTAGAATATAATAAATAAAGATAATATTATTAGATAATATAATTAGAAAATTTATATAAATAAGCTAGAAACTAATATAATTATTAATTAATATAAAAAAGATTTTAAATATTATATTCTTTATTAATTAATATCTACTGTTAATATAAGAATCTATAAGTTTAAAAGAATATTTATATTTATTCTGAATCTTAATAAGCTAATAT